CATACCAACACTCTCCCTGGCTGGTTACTCCCATACCAACACTCTCCCTGGCTGGTTACTCCCATACCAACAACTCCCATACCAACACTCTCCCTGGCTGGTTACTCCCATACCAACACTCTCCCTGGCTGGTTACTCCCATACCAACACTCTCCCTGGCTGGTTACTCTCATACCAACACACTCTCCTGGCTGGTTACTCTCATACCAACACACTCCCTGGCTGGTTACTCTCATACCAACACACTCCCTGGCTGGTTACTCTCATACCAATACACTCCCTGGCTGGGTACTTCCATACCAACACTCCCTGGCTGGGTACTTCCATACCAACACTCCCTGGCTGGGTACTTCCATACCAACACTCCCTGGCTGGGTACTTCCATACCAACACTCTCCCTGGCTGGTTACTCCCATACCAACACTCTCCCTGGCTGGTTACTCTCATACCAACAATCTCCCTGGCTGGTTACTCTCATACCAACACACTCCCTGGCTGGTTACTCTCATACCAACACACTCCCTGGCTGGTTACTCTCATACCAACACACTCCCTGGCTGGTTACTCTCATACCAACACACTCCCTGGCTGGTTACTCTCATACCAACACTCTCCCTGGCTGGTTACTCTCATACCAATACACTCCCTGGCTGGTTACTCTCATACCAATACACTCCCTGGCTGGGTACTTCCATACCAACACTCCCTGGCTGGGTACTTCCATACCAACACTCCCTGGCTGGGTACTTCCATACCAACACTCTCCCTGGCTGGTTACTCCCATACCAACACTCTCCCTGGCTGGTTACTCTCATACCAACAATCTCCCTGGCTGGTTACTCTCATACCAACACACTCCCTGGCTGGTTACTCTCATACCAACACACTCCCTGGCTGGTTACTCTCATACCAACACTCTCCCTGGCTGGTTACTCTCATACCAACACTCTCCCTGGCTGGTTACTCTCATACCAACACACTCCCTGGCTGGTTACTCTCATACCAACACACTCCCTGGCTGGTTACTCTCATACCAACACTCTCCTTGGCTGGTTACTCTCATACCAACACTCTCCCTGGCTGGTTACTCCCATACCAACACACTCCCTGGCTGGTTACTCTCATACCAACACACTCCCTGGCTGGTTACTCTCATACCAACACTCTCCTTGGCTGGTTACTCTCATACCAACACTCTCCCTGGCTGGTTACTCCCATACCAACACACTCCCTGGCTGGTTACTCTCATACCAACACACTCCCTGGCTGGTTACTCTCATACCAACACTCTCCTTGGCTGGTTACTCTCATACCAACACACTCCCTGGCTGGTTACTCCCATACCAACACACTCCCTTGCTGGTTACTCTCATACCAACACACTCCCTGGCTGGTTACTCTCATACCAACACTCTCCTTGGCTGGTTACTCCCATACCAACACTCTCCCTGGCTGGTTACTCTCATACCAACACTCTCCCTGGCTGGTTACTCCCATACCAACACACTCCCTGGCTGGTTACTCTCATACCAACACACTCCCTGGTTGGTTACTCCCATACCAACACTCTCCCTGGCTGGTTACTCTCATACCAACACACTCCCTGGCTGGTTACTCTCATACCAACACTCTCCCTGGCTGGTTACTCTCATACCAACACACTCCCTGGCTGGTTACTCCCATACCAACACTCTCCCTGGCTGGTTACTCTCATACCAACACACTCCCTGGCTGGTTACTCTCATACCAACACTCTCCCTGGCTGGTTACTCTCATACCAACACACTCCCTGGCTGGTTACTCTCATACCAACACTCTCCCTGGCTGGTTACTCTCATACCAACACACTCCCTGGCTGGTTACTCTCATACCAACACACTCCCTGGCTGGTTACTCTCATACCAACACACTCCCTGGCTGGTTACTCTCATACCAACACTCTCCCTGGCTGGTTACTCTCATACCAACACACTCCCTGGCTGGTTACTCTCATACCAACACACTCCCTGGCTGGTTACTCTCATACCAACACACTCCCTGGCTGGTTACTCTCATACCAACACTCTCCCTGGCTGGTTACTCTCATACCAACACACTCCCTGGTTCTACTGAATATACAAGGCGAGACACACTAATTGCGTATTGTTTGAATTAACGTGAAGGAAAGACCCGATTTATGTGTAAGTGTATCAAAACAACATTTCCGGATGTAACCTACATCCCGTCACTCTACTACACATACTGAGGTACCAACACCGTGACTCTACTACACATACTGAGGTACCAACATCCCGTCACTCTACTACACATACTGAGGTACCAACATCCCGTCACTCTACTACACATACTGAGGTACCAACATCCCGTCACTCTACTACACATACTGAGGTACCAACATCCCGTCACTCTACTACACATACTGAGGTACCAACATCCCGTCACTCTATTAAACATACTGAGGTACCAACACCGTGACTCTACTAAACATACTGAGGTACCAACACCCCGTCATTACTAAACATTCTGAGGTACCATCACCCCGTCACTCTACCACAAAGACTAGTGGAACATCTGGAGCGAAGGAACTTTGTGACACAACACCAACATGGTTTCAGGGATGGCAAATCCTGTCTCATGTGATTAATTGAATTCTACGATCAGGCACGAAAGAGACAGCATATTTTTGGATTGCGAGAAAGTCTTTGACACAGTACCACACCAGAGACTAGTGCAAAAGTTGGAGATGCAGGCAGGAGTGAAAGGGAAGGTACGACATTGGATAAGGGAGTACCTAAGTAACAGAAGACAGCCAGTTACTGTGAGGGGTGAGGTCTCAGACTGGCGAGACGTCACCAGTGGAGTTCCGCAGGGTTCAGTCCTTGGACCCGTATTTCTGATATATGTAAATGATTTACCAGAGGGTATAGAATCATTCCTCTCATTGTTTGCTGATGATGCAAAAATTGAGGAGGATTAAGACGGAGGAAGATAATATGAGGCTACAAGACGACCTAGACAGGCTGAATGAATGGTCCGACAAATGGCTACTAAAGTTCAACCCGAGTAAATGTAAGTAAATGTAAATGAAACTAGGCAGAGGAAACAGGAGGCCAGACACAGGATACAGAATGGGAGATGGAATCCTTCATGAAACTGACAGAGAGAGATCTAAGAGTTGATATCACACCAAACCTGTCTCCTAAAGCCCACATCAAGAGAATAACATCTGCGGCGTATGCGAGGCTGGCTAACATCAGAACAGCGTTCAGGAACTTGTGTAAGGAATTATTCAGAACCTTGTATACCACATATGTAAGACCAATCCTGGAGTATGCGGCCCCCAGCATGGAGCCCGTACCTTGTCAAGCATAACTTGAAAAAGTTCAGAGGTATGCCACTAGGCTAGTCCCAGAACTAAGAGGCATGAGTTACGAGGACAGGCTGCATGAAATGCACCTCACGACACTGGAAGTCAGAAGATTAAGGAGAGACATGATCGCAACCTATAAAATTCTCAGGGGGGAATTGACAGGGTAGATAAAGATAAACTGTTTAACGTGGGTGGTACCCGAACAAGGGGACACAGGTGGAAACTGAGTACCCAAATGAGCCACAGGGACGTTAGAAAAAACTTTTTTTAGTGTCAGAGTAGTTAACGGATGTAATGCATTAGGCAATGATGTGGTGGAGGTTTACTCCTTACACAGTTTCAAATGTAGATATGATAGAGCCCAGTAGGCTCAGGAACCTGTACACCAGTTGATTGACAGTTGAGAGGCGGGTCCAAAGAGCCAGAGCTCAACCCACGCAAGCACAGCTAAGTGAGTACACATACTGAGGTACCAACACCCCGTCACTGTTAAACATACTGAGGTACCAACTCCTAACCTTACTTTCCACTATTATTGCAACAACCTTCCAGACGTACTCATTTCCATAATAATAGCCTCCCAGAGTAAATATTTCCATACAACTTCCTTGGGAACTGTTGCACATAATTTGTATTTCCCCTGTACTCACCTAATTGTGCTTGCGGGGTTGAGCTCTGGCTCTTTAGTCCCCACCTCTCAACTGTCAACTGGTGTACAGGTTCCTGAGCCTACTGGGCTCTATCATATCTACTTTGAAACTGTGTATGGAGTCAGCCTCCACCACATCACTGCCTAATGCATTCCCACCTGTTAACTACTCTGACACTGAAAAAGTTCTTACTGACATCCCTGTGGCTCATTTGGGTACTCAGTTTCCACTATGTTAGCTCCTGTTGTCTGCGTGTGTCTCCGGTGTAGTGTCTTGACAAACTATTGCACACTGGACGGTGGTTTCTCTCTCTAAGAAAGGTTAAGCAAGTGGTTGGAGGGAGGATGATGCACACCACCGCGTGTGTACCGTGGGAGAGGACGCACACCACCGCGTGTGTACCATGGGAGAGGCACCTCGCCGCCCTCCCCACTCACCACCACACTGCTCCATCACCGCCCCTCCAAATCGCAATACTGGCATAAGTTTAACTGGTGTTCGTCATCTTGAACCATTTGGTATAAAATCATAAACTTCTTGAAGTTGCCGTTTCAGTTCTTCTCGCATTACTATTACTTAATGACACTAATGCGGAAAATGAATCTTTAAAAAAAAAATCGAACGTCTCGATGCTTAAAAAAAATGGTGCGTCGGTTGATTATCTTCGACACTCCTAGTCATTTTACACAATAGTTCATCTTTATTCATCCTTAAAACTGTAAAATGTGAATTAACTTAAAATCAACACGTGTGACGAGTTGTACCGCTAGTGTGGGTGTTCATGTTAAGTTGAAGCCGAGGTCAGGGAAGGAACACAGTGGATCCGTCTCCTCCTCCCTGACCCCCAACCCCGACCTTAGTGTTATCATGGCCTCAAGATTCGCTAGTTCTTATATTCGCTAATTTCGCAACTAGTTTGGGGGGCTCTTAGTGCTTTTATTTTATATTGATTTAAATATGTTGTATTTCCTCATCTACAGATAATGTTGTGAATGTTGAACCTGAAAAATAGTTGATAAAGAAATGGAGTAGTGAGAAAGTAGCCAGGTAGTGATTATCGCCACGAAAATGTGCGAGCGGCCACCATCGTTGAAGAGACTGTCTGGGGACGGGAACGTTGCTCTCTTAACTTGCTTGTGACGAGAATGCTCCGGAACAACCAAGCCTACACAGCTCCTCAACTTTTATTAAACACTCGTAAGGGAAGGCATTAAGTTTTAGATATTACAAAAACAGTTTTGCGCTTGCTTTTTAAATGCTTGAGTGTTCACAAATGTTCGAAGACTCGGAATGATGTTCTTTTCAAGTAGCCAGAATATTTAGTTTCATAGATTTGAGTAAAGTTTTTAAAGCTGGCGTTAAATAATACAGTTCATTTCTCTTCTGCAGCCGGAAAATATCTGACGTAAAAAAAACTAAACAAAGTTCATTGATTCCGTGCGAACCGCTCTTATTTGATGTGCTTAGAATTCAACTATTTCGACAAAATCCTTTTGATAGTCAAATCTTACTGGGGGGGGGGGGGGGAGACAAGCATGATGATACCTGGTTGATGGGGTTCTGGGAGTTCTTCTACTCCCCAAGCCCGGCCCGAGGCCAGGCTTGACTTGTGAGAGTTTGGTCCACCAGGCTGTTGCTTGGAGCGGCCCGCAGGCCCACATACCCACCACAGCCCGGTTGGTCCAGCACCCCTTGAAGAAAACTATCCAGTGTTCCAGCAATACATTTTATGCTCGCTGGGAGGACGTTGAACAACCGCGGACCTCTGATGTTTATAGTGTTTGTTCACTGATTGTGGCTATGGCACCTCTGCTCTTCACTGGTTCTATTCTGAATTTTTTTCCATATCGTTCTCTCCAGTATGTTATTTTACTGTGTAGATTTGGGACGTGTCCCTTCAGTATTTTCCATGTGTATATTATTTGATCTCTCTCGTCTCCTTTCTAGTGAGTACATTTGGAGAGCTTTGAGACGATCCCAATAATTTAGGTGCCTTATCCCGTCTGTGTATGCCGTATATGTTCTCTGTATTCCCTCTATTTCAGCAATCTCTCCTGCTCTGAAGGGGAAAGTGATCACTGAGCAGTACTCGAGCCGGGATAGCACAAGTGATTTGAAGAGTACAATCATTGAGTGGATCCATGGTTTTGAAATTACTCGTAATCCATCCGATCATTTTTCTGGCTGACGCAATATTTGCTTGGTTATGCTCCCTAGACGTTACGTCGTCACATTTTTTCCCAAAATCTGTACATGCTCTTTTTCCAACCATGGGGCAGATACCTCAGTGATGGGTAAACCCAGCTGTGCCCAGTGTGTATGGTAGACTATCACTGGCCTCATGGTGACTAGTGTCAGGGTATGGTAGTCTACCACTGGTCTCATGGTGACTAGTGTCAGGGTATGGTAGTCTACCACTGGTCTCATGGTGACTAGTGTCAGGGTATGGTAGTCTACCACTGGTCTCATGGTGACTAGTGCTAGCTGACGAAAATGACGATGCTTTATATTGTAAACAAACGACATGTTACGAAAAACACAAGGAGGTGAAGTCAACGTTGTGTCAATGACTATATATATATATATATATATATATATATATATATATATATATATATATATATATATATATATATATATATAATTAATTAATGTTGTGTGTGTGAAATAGAAGATTACTATGCAAGGATAGACATTAATTTAGGACTAGTGCTGCACGTGGATAAAGAGGAGGCTGTGAATCTCGCAGAAAATTATAGTTACAAACAACGTAAGCTTCAACTTGTGGCAAATAATCCCCGTCACACCAGAATCAAAGCTTCACCGAGTCGCAGAAGAAAACATCTTAATGTGCGACTGTGTGTGTGTGTGTGTGTAGGGGGAAGGTGTAGGGGGGGGGGGGAGGAACGAGAGCAGGTTGTCGACATGTGGCAACGCTGCTCCCAGTGAAATGCAGCACACTACCAACGCCCTCGCGGTCTGCGTGTTTAAACTCATCTCTTCCATTCATTTCACCTTCATTTGCCTCTCCTCTTGCGTCTTGAATTTTAATATTAATTTAGTGTTCCTAAAAAGGTATAATTATTGGTTATATCTTTAGTAACTTGATATGTCTCCTCTCTCAGGACTGCCGTGTGGATCTGGGAGAATACAGTGCCATGTGGTTTTCGTTATGATATACGTTTTTTTCTCCCACAACGGAGGAGCTGGAATATATCCTCAATAAACATCGTCCTCTGCCATCTGCAAAGGTACTATAGGTTGTCTGTGTATGTCCGTATGACGATGAGAAAAAGTACTGTACCAAACAGTACGCTGGTGGGACTCAGGTTTTCACGATGGATAATGCGGATTATATTTTGTTGACTATTACACTCTTGGTTCATTTCGTTAGGAAGTTAAAATCCATTTTCCTACTTCGCCAGTAATTCTTTTTGTGCACATTTTATGTGCAAAAACTCCATGGTCACACTTGTCGAAAGCTTTCGCGAAGTCTGTGTATCATAGTTTTGCTTGTCTTCCATGGCATCTAAGGCAATGTCCGAGTGATCTAGCAGTTGAGAGAGGCAGGAGCGCCCTGTTCTCAACCCGTGTTGTCCATAGTTATGGAAATGTTGTCATTCCATGTGTTTAGTGGTCTTCGTTAGCGCTCAAAGAATTGTGTGTGTGGTGTTAGTGCTGTTGGCCTATAGTTTTTTGCTTCTACTTTATTGTCTCCTTTTATGAAGTGGTGCTTTCTCCGCTGTTTTAAGCAGGGGTTAACACGAGTCTCTAGGCTTTATATCCAATTAAAGTTAACTACCTGTGATAGTGTGTTTTGTACCTGGGAAGTACCATATTAAAATAGTGTGTGATATTACTCGGATATGACACTTTATATTACATTCGTATGTGGTACTTGTAATGATGTACCATACACGACTGGTATATGGTACTCCCTTATAAGAAGGTACTATGTACGAGTGTCATATAAGGAAGTACCATATACGAGTGTCATATAAGTACCATATACGAGTGTCATATAAGTACCATATACGAGTGTCATATAAGGAAGTACCATATACGAGTGTCCTATAAGTGCCATATACGAGTGTCATATAAGGAAGTACCATATACGAGTGTCATATAAGTACCATATACGAGTGTCATATAAGTACCATATACGAGTGTCATATAAGTACCATATACGAGTGTCATATAAGGACGTACCATATACGAGTGTCATATAATGAAGTACCATATACGAGTGTCATATAAGGAAGTACCATATACGAGTGTCATATAAGGAAGTACCATATACGAGTGTCATATAAGTACTATATATGAGTGTCATATAAGTACCATATATGAGTGTCATATAAGTACCATATACGAGTGTCATATAAGTACCATATATGAGTCATATAAGTACCACATACGAGTGTCATAAGTACCATATATGAGTGTCATATAAGTACCATATACGAGTGTCATATAAGTACCATATACGAGTGTCATATAAGTACCATATACGAGTGTCATATAAGTACCATATACGAGTGTCATATAAGGAAGTACCATATACGAGTGTCATAAGGAAGTACCATATACGAGTGTCATAAGGAAGTACCATATACGAGTGTCATAAGGAAGTACCATATACGAGTGTCATAAGGAAGTACCATATACGAGTGTCATAAGGAAGTACCATATACGAGTGTCATATACCATATACGAGTGTCATAGGAACCACCATATACGAGTGTCATATAAGGAAGTACCATATACGAGTGTCATATAAGGAAGTACCATATACGAGTGTCATATAAGGAAGTACCATATACGAGTGTCATATAAGTACCATATACGAGTGTCATATAAGTACCATATACGAGTGTCATATAAGTACCATATACGAGTGTCATATAAGTACCATATACGAGTGTCATATAAGTACCATATACGAGTGTCATATAAGTACCATATACGAGTGTCATATAAGTACCATATACGAGTGTCATATAAGTACCATATACGAGTGTCATATAAGTACCATATACGAGTGTCATATAAGTACCATATACGAGTGTCATATAAGTACCATATACGAGTGTCATATAAGTACCATATACGAGTGTCATATAAGTACCATATACGAGTGTCATATAAGGAAGTACCATATACGAGTGTCATATAAGGAAGTACCATATACGAGTGTCATATAAGGAAGTACCATATACGAGTGTCATAAAAGGAAGTACCATATACGAGTGTCATATAAGGAAGTACCATATACGAGTGTCATATAAGTACCATATACGAGTGTCATATAAGGAAGTACCATATACGAGTGTCATATAAGGAAGTACCATATACGAGTGTCATATAAGGAAGTACCATATACGAGTGTCATATAAGGAAGTACCATATACGAGTGTCATATAAGGAAGTACCATATACGAGTGTCATATAAGGAAGTACCATATACGAGTGTCATATAAGGAAGTACCATATACGAGTGTCATATAAGGAAGTACCATATACGAGTGTCATATAAGGAAGTACCATATACGAGTGTCATATAAGGAAGTACCATATACGAGTGTCATATAAGGAAGTACCATATACGAGTGTCATATAAGGAAGTACCATATACGAGTGTCATATAAGGAAGTACCATATACGAGTGTCATATAAGGAAGTACCATATACGAGTGTCATATAAGGAAGTACCATATACGAGTGTCATATAAGGAAGTACCATATACGAGTGTCATATAAGGAAGTACCATATACGAGTGTCATATAAGGAAGTACCATATACGAGTGTCATATAAGGAAGTACCATATACGAGTGTCATATAAGTACCACATACGAGTCATATAAGTACCACATACGAGTCGTATAAGTACCACATACGAGTCGTATAAGTACCACATACGAGTGTCGTATAAGTACCACATACGAGTGTCGTATAAGTACCATATACGAGTGTCGTATAAGCACCATATACGAGTGTCGTATAAGCACCATATACGAGTGTCGTATAAGTACCATATACGAGTGTCGTATAAGTACCATATACGAGTGTCGTATAAGTACCATATACGAGTGTCATATAAGTACCACATACGAGTCGTATAAGTACCATATACGAGTGTCATATAAGGAAGTACCATATACGAGTGTCATATAAGGAAGTATCATATACGAGTGT